TGGCTTCGACAGTTGGAACATGTACGTTGCTATCTTTAATATAATAAATTAAGACGACAGCAGTTTGCCGATGATAAAAAAAATTGTGTCAATCCATTAAAAAGAGACAAATCAGGCACTCAGAAACCAGTGTTGAATTGAAACAGTCATTTAGATCTGAACAGGTCTCAAACTACTAAAAAGAACATTATTAAATCATTTCCAGTCGTTAGGTACATTTTCAGAGTTATCCACTGCGGTGAATTCAGTACTGTTCAGACAATCTGCTTGCCGACACTTAAGATTTGTTCTGTTTATGTTTAGACTGTTCAGTAGTTTGTATTTACCTGAACACATCAACATCGTGCTGATTAGCATGAAAAGCCTTTTTATTTCTTTGTATTCTTAAAAAGCTCGCATATTATTGATTTTTCAAACCGGTTTATTTAATTTTTCAAACCGGTTTATTTAATATTAAGTGTAAATAAGAAATATGCTCAAAACCTTGCACCTTTAATACATCTTTTTGTTTGTGAACATACCAATGATGAGATTTTAAGACATGAGTATAACAATGTGCGAATGCGTTACGTCCGTATTGCTTTTTCAAAGATATTCGTTCATAAGGAACGAACAAATCATTGAAAATCAATGATTATAGTTACCTGAGGGATGTCAAGAACTGTAGGTAACTTTTTACCTACAGAATGCAAACATTTAAAGACATATGCGGATAATGTGCTTCAAAATATATTTGCAAATATTTCGGCTTTTGGCGGAAGTCAGTTTTCGGGTTACTTGCACTAGGCAAACGAACTGCAACATTTGATATTAGACCAGATATTTAACTTTAATATATCCAACAAAATACTTGACTGCCCTGAAGGAAGTTGAAGTATAATATTTATCTAAACTGAGTGTTTACCTGTAAAGAATGGGCGTAATATATATATAAAAAAAATTTTATGAATAATAATTGCCAAAAAATGCGTTAATTATCCGTTAATGCCAGATGTGCAATATTCATTTAAAAGTATAGGCACGTTAGTCAGGAGAAACAAGGTCATGTCTAAATGGTTAAACAATCCATACAAAGCGGATCAGATAAAAAAAAGTAAACTTCAGCAATAACCAGACCATATATTATTCTTAGAAAAGGTCTGGTTCAATTGGTCAACTTGTCCGTTTTCAAGTTGCATGCTAACAAGATAAATGCTAAACTTAATCTCATCTGAGTTTAGTTTCAAAAACGGAACTGTTAATTTGTTTTCCCGAAGACATAAATAAAACAGTCCTGGCACTGTGTATGGTTTTTGGGTTAAATTGACATTGGTTCTAGGACAAGTCAACGGTCGATTTATTTGTTACAAGGTAGCTATTTTCTATTAAACATATCTTGTCATTAGGGTTATATATTGTTTCTTTCTGTACGAACTATATCCTAATCGTACTGTAATGATGTCTGTCTATATTTGATAACGTTTGCTGTCACTTTGTCAAATTCGACTGATCATTGTTAGTTTTCATGTTCACACGGAAAACTTGAAAAAGACATGCAGCCAAATGTCAAAAGTCTATTGAAATTACTATCTATCCGGTACGCTCGTAGCGAAAAAGTCAGGAAACTAAACATTATCAATGTTATACCCTTTTTTAATGTTAAATCAACAATATATAAGTATTGTTTATCAGCTTGATTGTTTGCTGTCTATCATATTTGTGTTCCGTTGGATCAGGCAGTTGTTTTCTGTCTTTATTTCAATTGTTTTACATTTAGTTATTTCTGGGTCTTTTATAGCTAAATATACGGTTTGGGATTTGCTCATTATTGAAGGCCGTACAGTGACCTACAGTAGCTTACATTTGCTTCATCTAACATCTTGTGGATAGTTGTCTCGTTGGCAATCGCACCATATCTCCTTACTTTTAGAAGACATGTTGATGTTTAATTTTAATTAAAATGCAGTTGATGACTACCTTTTACCATTTTATTCATAGACGTACATATACAGTTTTTTTAATATGAAGTTATTTTGTGATGTTTTGTAAAGGAAAGCTATAATAATAGAACTTAATCATGTTAATGTAGAGTTATATAGTAACAAAGTACCATTTGTTTGGTGCAATAACTCTTTGAAACTTGTGAGTTGCGTCATGTTTATCTTCCATATAACAATTATTACATAATTCATAATCCTCACAGTCCAAACACTGCCATCTAAATCCTTTGATGCATGTGTTGAATTCACCTAGGTGATTACATATGTGACAGAAATAGCTTTCATGTTCAACTCCTGCAAAAGAAAGATAATTGAAGCAGAAAAGTAACTTCATGTAATATTGTTAATTGCATGCAACTGATCATTCAACAACGCATATATATTAGAAATACCCCTAACTTTCTGAATCCTTGGCGCAATAAGACATTTACCAGCATATGAGTTTACACACAGACGATACAGGCAGGGAAAAGGTGAAGTAATAAAAGAATTTACAATCCTGAGATGTGAAAACTACCGATCTTAAGTGATGTCTCAGTTTTTGGCAAAGTGTAGCCATTGTTTACTAATATTGCTGTCATCTGTATGATACAAATCATCTAAACTAGAAAAATTATTTGTTAATGACAACGCCATAGAACTTTAATGATGAAGTGCAAATATGGTCAGTTTTGGCTGCTGCAGATAGATAGTTTTGTTTTATTAACCGTCCTGGCATATGAAAACTATTGATTTTAAGTGACATCTAAGTATTTGGAATAAAGACAACAGTAGTATACCGCTATTTCAATAATCATAAATCGATTAAGCGAAAACAAATCCAGATCACAAACCAACACCGAGGGAAACACATCAACTATAACAGGAAAACAACAGAACAATAGAAATACTGAACTGCAACAAAAACAAACGCCAACATACATAGAAGCGGACTGTTTGATAACAAATGCCAAATTCCTTACTTGGTACCGAACGTTTTAAGAAAAAAAAGTGAGTTGAACCTGGTTTTATGGCTAGCCAAACCTCCTGCTTATAAAGATGTTAAAAATAGTGCTACAATGACAACATTACGTGACAGGATTACAGTACAAATAAACGCTCAGGAATAAAAACAGGAAAATGCTGGCCATCTTAGTTGATGCGGAAAAAAGTGTAGTCATTGTGTACCGATATTGCTGTCATTTATATTCTACAAGTCATCCTGAGTTAAGAAATTTTGAATCGCCATATGATTTGTATTATGAAGTACTAATATGGTCAGTTTGGTTGATTCGGTCAAAAAGTCTAATTATACAAACAATCCTGAGATATGACAACTAATGATGTTTAGAGACGTCTAAGTATTTTGAATAAAAAGAGGAAATGTTGGTACACTAAATTGATGCAACATTTTGTAGTTGTACCAATATTGCTGTCGTTTGTATCATACAATCCATCCTGGGTACACAAATTTACTGATTAATGATCCCGCATTTTATTGTTTTGTAATAAAGAGCAAATGTGATCAGTTTTTATTGATTGGGTCAAACAATTTTGCTATACCAACCAATATGATACCGGCAGATAATATTTGTAATAAAGTACAATTATGAAAGATGATATTGCTTTAAAAAATTATGTACCGTGTTTTATGCAATATCTGTACAAATCACAACTTAAACATTTTATATAAATATTAATGATACCATTATACAATGTACGTTAAACGTTTGTTTTAAACTGGATTTTGATTTGTTAAAAGAAAAAATACGGAGATATTTGTATTCCAATCAAATGTGTATGCATGATTGTTTATTTATATCAAGAAACAGATATTTTAAATTTGTTTATATATCGATGTAAAGCGGTCCTGGTTACAAGTTACCTAAATGTTAAACAGACTAGGAAAACAAATTTTGATTTCAAGTATTTTTTGTTTTGCTTTTCATAAAGCAGTGGGCGATAAATGCAATAATGCACGTACTAGTAAACAAATTTTTTTCTGAAACGGTCATGTCGATCTAGATAGCTCTAAAAAGATTGAACAATAAATTATTAATTTAGTCAACCTTTCAGTCAACTTTCAGACTTATACACTGCGGTAAATTCAGTACTGTTCAAACATTTCGCTTGCAGTCAATTACGATCTGTTAAGACTTAGATCAGACTGTTCAGTTCTTGATATTTACTTGTACAGATCAATGATATACTGAATTGCTTGAAAAGCTAATTAACAGTTACTGTACTGAATTGATCGCAAGCAAATATCTGTACAGTACTGAATTTACCGCGTACGATTATTTTGAAAGGGAGAATATGGCTTGACAACTTATATTCCGACTGTACAGATGATGTTTAGATCAAAATGACTGTCTCAGACTAAATATTGTTTACTAGTGACTCAGCTTTAAAATTTCACGTGAATAAACGCCTCATTTTATAAATTCAAGCATTACAATGGAAGTTAGCATCTAGATTAGTACACATAGTGTCTTTTGCTTTCATAACGACACTAGGTTGAAACCTCTGCTTGTGTACTGCTTATCATCAGTCCAGTAGCTCAGTACTTCGGTATGGAATTTAATGTGCATATATAGCTTATTAAAATATAACAGTTGTAGATAATAGAACATTATTCAAAATGAAGGGAAGTATCCCTCTCGTGCATATATTTCTTTCTGCCCCTGACTTCATAATCAGCCGTTATGAATCTTTATTATAGAGTTGCTCGAGATTACGTCATTTAGGACTATCTATTCTTGAACAGTTTATAAACAGAATCAAATAGATACATGCACACTGATTTTCGAAGTTGTATCTTTGTGCAGTTTTGGACGGTTAAAAGCTAGAATAGCTTCTGACAATTATACGTGTACACTAGCTCAAATTAAGCAAAAACAGTTTTAAACAGTTTTTTGCCATATCATTCTGACAGTTTTGAAGAGAGATAACAACTGATTTGTACCATCACTTAACAGGATAGTGGGTTATTAACATTGATAATACCTAATAAACATAATTAACCAATACCTGATGGTCCATTGTCTAAAATTCGAAGCAATTCATTCTGTACATCATAATGACGTGTGTTTCCATTGTCCCATTGAACATGTACGATCTGCGATTTTTTCTTCTGATCTCTAGATGTTCCTTGATCTTGTTTTGATTTATCATCCGTTGTTGTATTTCTTGATGATTTCTACAACGATAGATTGTTGCTCAGCTTTTGATTTTTGTATTTAGTTTATTAGACATAATTCAAATAAATACATAGATTCAAAATATTTTTCAGACTATATATTTGCTTGAAAAATATTTTACACATTTCCCAATTTTCAGAATATCTAATATACTGTTTAATAGTCCGAGATTACTCTGACGTCCAACAGCTGTTTTGCCAGACAAGCTGGGGCCGTGGGACGTCAGAGCTCGTCCCATATCAAAAAGTGGATATTTGCCCGTTCAAAATAGATGCGCTGCTTCGTCGCTTCTGGTGCCAACGGACGGCCTTGGAATTATATAAATCGGGTATCAATTTGTTCATTTTTCATTTATCTCTTCATTTATGTAAGTTTCACCTACCTGCCACCCTTTATTTTCTCATATTTAGACAGTTTTCACAGTGACCCATCAATTCAGACATTTTTACTTTTATTTTCAAATGGACGAGAGATTTTGCGACAGGTCCCAGCTTGTCTGGCAAAACAGCCGTTGGACGTCAGAGTAATCTCGGACTAACTGTTTATATGTATCCCTGACTTAGTATACTTTTTTGCTCAGTCTTTAGTTGCCTATGCTGTGTTTTGTAAACAGTTATTTATCCTTTGATCGTTTTTCGTTTTTTCCCATGGCATTGCCAATTTGTGTCTGACTTTTGAGTAAGGATATCCCTTTGGTGTTTTTCGCTTTTCTTTTGGAACATACATATGTCATAACAATCAAGCAATTTGTCATGGCGTTCGTAAAACATATGAAGGGCGATGACTCATTATTCCACTTGGAACTCTAATCGTTTTCTTGTTAGCAGTAAACTTCTATCAACAAAACCCATGATCGGAACCGCATGTTTTAGAAAATTGTAGCAACTGGAAAATATTTACTCCATATGAAAGCATTACGGTTTCGTTAACACATTTACTGTCAACTACAGCTCACAAATAACCATAAAATTGTTCATTCTTGGTGAAGTATTCGACCAATGTGTATTACACATCTGTCATTCTGTCTTGCATTAACAACGCCTATACGATGTCGGCTAGTGATGGCTTGGTCAAATTTTTGATAATTGAATATCTTAACACCAAAACGCTGGAGCACAAAAATTCGTCATTTTCAAATCAATTATTTCGTTTTTATTTAAGATAATCATTGCCTTAATCATTAAAATACAGTGCGTCTAACAGCTAAGAATGACAGCACTCTCCAAACTATAGCAGAACCATTTGTATTAAATTTCAAGTTATATTTATGTTGTCAAATACTTAAATAAATTCATTTCCGAGCATACATTAATAGATGGAAAAACAAAGAATTATCTTGCTATTAAATAACTTTAAATAGACGTCTTAAACGAAAAGGGATGACTTTGCATTTTGATATCAAAGAGATTGACGTAATGATAACGATTATAATCAACCGTAACGTAGTGTTTCATGTAAATTAAATTGTCAGCAGTAGAAAACATAAACAGTAACATCCCTTGATAAGGTAAAGATAAAATCACAATATTTACCTAAAGACGAACATATGAACATTTTATGATAGTTATACCTTGTGAATCTTTACAATTGTTCCAACATATCCTAATCCTCCATCGTCTTTATCATTTTCCTTCCATGCTGGACCTCTTACAACTCGTAATCCATTAAAAGCAGAGTCTAAGTTATAGCCAAAACATAATTGTACTTTCAAAAACAAGCTTTAGATTAACAATCTTGATAATTGTGTACATTATAATAAACGATTTTGAATGACTTGAAAAAACTATATAAATATGCTTATCAGATCGACATATTCTTTAAAGAAATATCAAATATGAATTATCTTATCTTTTGAGGATATTTTATTTCAAAATTTGTGTTTTTTTTATATTAAGTTTGCTTTTTAAATTTATTTACAAAAAGGGGACGAGAATACATACTAAAAATATGCATCCCTATACCATGCGTCTAAAGGTTTGTTTTCTTTTTAATCACATTTGTCAGTTAGATATTGTTATTTTAATTTGAGTCCTATAATCGTTAGAAAAAATGCTGACATCCTGCATTTCTAAGGGATAATACACTTCTAAAAAACATAGTTTATAGATGATATCATTCGTTTGAATGTTAAATTAGCAAAACGTTTAGGACAGTGATAAATATGTCTTATATGGCATTTTGCATGAAATCGAAACAACGCCATGGCTAAAAAAGAAAAAGACTAACAGACAAACAATAGTACGCAAAACACAACATAGAAAACTAAAGACTGAGCAACACGAACCCCACCACAAACTGGGGGTAATCTCATGTGCTCCGAAAGAGTAAGCAGGTCTTGCTCCACATGAGGCACCCGTCGTGTTGCTCATGTTAGTAAAAACCATGTAATACGTCTAATTCGGTAGGTCACATTCGGAAAAAGGGAACGGGATTGTAGTAACGATATTAGAAACATATCCGTTATCATCTGTGAAACTGATATTCCATAACGGTCAACCAATTCGTGATTGCGTCCGTAAAACATACAAAGGGATGATTTCAACTTCACCACTTGGAACTCTTGTTTAATAGCTTCCTTGTCAGCAGCAACTCTCTATCAAGGAAATCATGATAGGAAATACAACCCCTGGAATACCATATCAACTGGTAGATATAATTCCGTATGCAGGCGCTGCTGGAATGTTGCTACATAGAAATGGAAAGTTCACAATTGAGAAGCTGAAATCATCTCTTTTGTCGAAAAGTTTTGTTTTCAACCCAACCTTCATTGTGAATTTCTAGATGTAAGTCAAGATATGAGACAGACTTAACTGTATCTGTTGTATCTTTTATCTCAAGTCCGATGGGATAGATGCGTTCAACATAGTCACCAAATTTTGAATTATTGTGACGAAATATCGGTTCCCTCAAATGGAACTTGTTTTCCCTAAAATTGTGTGTTGACGTTGTGTTAATCGAACCGATAAATGACTATTGATATCATATATTTCTTGTATAAGTATGTTTTAACATTGTTAACTCTAAAGCTATTATTATCCTTGTCTCTGTTATTACATTTGGAACACCTGAATTGTTTTTTTCAATTGACGTACAATGACGTTTTACCTATTTTGGTAATTACCAGTTCCGGTGTAGGTAATTTTGGTATTTAATAAATGGTAAATGGTAAACCAAATCGGTAAATTGGTTTACCTAAGTATAAATACTGCGGGGGATTCAGATAAGTCTTCAGCACGATTTTACCCTGGGCAAGTAATTCTCGCTAATTCCAAGCGATTTTTATATAAATATAGATATCATTTACCAGACCAAGTAGTAACAAGGCAGACAACATTTTACAATGTGCGAGGAGACTAAGTCCGTATAACGTGCGTTTGATAAATCCTTTACAATTCCAGTTACACTTAGAAAATAACTTCCCAAGTAAAACTATTTTAACGAATGTTTTGGTATCGAATTTTACCATTTACTGAATACAAAATTACAATTAGTAAACTTGCTGAGTATATTTTTCCGCTATCCTTTTACTTTATTTACGGAAGAAGGCTGATAAAATGTCTATTTATTAGAATTGAACACTGTTAAGTTATTTAAAATATATATGTATTGTTGATATTTAATGCATATTAAAGTTAGTATAAGCTGATTTTTATTTAACGAGTCTGTTTTTCTTACAAACATCGATACGGAGAGTTACCATAGAAAACCACGCTTTCACGGACCAAAAACCTACACTCCAATCTACCCTTTTATATCCGAGTCATTACCTTACCAGAGGAGCCAACCTTACCAGGGTGTATACAGAATACCAGAGTACCACGCTACCAAAGAAAGAGTTACTAAATGTACACTTTTATTCTCTTTTTATTACTGCTATAACAAAAACATATTCTTATAGCATTACACTAAGGCCCGACCGCTCGGTTTTTCGTTACATTATTTAATGAGAGAACATCATCTATATAGCGGAAAGTAAAGTTAAAGGATACTTCTAACTTCTTTTCTTTCTTCCTTAGATGGTCCTGTATGAGGTCAGCCTCACATGAATAGAGGAACAAGTCGGCAAGAAAAGGGACACAGTTTAATTTGTTCCCATTGGAATGCAGATTATTTGTTGAAAAAACACGTCCTTCAAACGTAATAAATATGTTGTCAATCAAGAAATTAAGCATCTTGAAAATGTCAGTTTCAGAAAATGTGTTGTTTGCATCCGAGTGATATTTTACAAAGTAGACTTTATCCCTCCTTAAGACAAGATACTTGTATCTACATTTGTCATTCCTTTTTATGAAACAATGCAGGACCAACTCTTTCAGTTTGTCTTTTAGTTTGGAATGGGGAATACTTGTGTAAAGTGCCGAAAAGTCAAATGTTTAAATACTATTGCAAGATTTTGATTTTTATTTTTGGTGTTTTAACGCCACTTTTAAGCACCGCTTTTGGTCTTTTTCGTGGCGGTCAGTTTTTATTGGTGGAGGAAGCCGGAGTGCCCGGAGAAAACCACCGACCTTCGATAGGAAAACGGACAAACCCAGTCAATTAAGATTGGAGTCGGGTGCACCCGCACGAGCGGGTTCGAACTCACAACCTCAGTGTTGACTGGTTAGTGATTACAGTAGTAACTACTTAGACCACTCGGCCACCGAGGCCCCCTACTATTGCAAGATAAAAGAGCTTGAGATTGTATATACTCTAAAAGATCTTTTTTTTAGTATCCACATCTGATTCATGCAACCACTAGAATAACAGATGTTTCACAATAACGTTGGTGCCCGACTTTGATTGTTGATGAAATTGATGTCTATAATTTAGAAAGAGGTTTCGTAGGGCACTTGGAAGACCCAGCAATATACTGTTGTTTGTAAGGACATTTATGTAGTTTGTGTTTCCAATATAGTAATTGAAGATCCAGTTCTTCCTCCTTGGTCGAAATTCCAAAGGAACATGGAACCGATTTGTATCTAATTGTATCGTAATGAATAACAACCAAATATTAGTTAAGGATGCATCCTTGAATCACGTTACACAGAATGAAATCCTTAATTTAATGCAAAAGAATTGTTGACATCATCAATATACTACAATCACGTGTATTGCTTATTCAAAAGATAACCATGACAACTCAAAATGTAAAAATAATAATACAAGAGGTATTCATGCTGTAAATGGGAATTAAGGGGGGAACTTCCTTATTTTTATATGTACTGTAATAAATAAATGTATTTGTCCATTGAAAATACAAAAAGGGCCTTAAGTGTTTTCATAAGCAGGATATTTCAATCTTTGTTCTACCGTATATGAAATAAGAACCAAAAAAAAAGAATACCTCATGTATAATTGAACTGATATATGATGACTTAACGAAAGAAGAGTGTCTTATCATTATTATTATACGAATTCCTTAAAATGTAACAAAAATGGGTAGGTTTCACTCGTTTAACCAGCTCAATGTACGTTTGTTAAAGTAGCGATATTTGTGCAAAACATAGACCGTTTTATGTTACTGTTTATTCAAACTACATCAAACAAATAGTTGCGCATATATGAAATTGTAATCAAGAAAAGTATATAATTTTATATAGATCATTAAGAGCCCACATTTACTTGGCCATGCTATACCTTAAAATTGCAGAAGTGCTGCATAATATTTCTATAAAAAAATATAAAAAAAGTATTACCTTTTAGTAGTAGGTGACTCAAATTAAGGACGAGCAAATCCTTCCAAACGCGGTAACTGGTTTCAAGTATGCCACCGATCTAGAATTTGGTCATGTTGCAATTCTAATGTGATTATCAAAGGTAAATAACTGAGACTTAAACAATGATAAGTTAGCTATAGAAAGCTAACACATTCGTTGTTTCCGCTTTTATTATGCAACCTTTATAGATCAAATTAGATTCTTCATGATATTGTAAACAAGCGATGTGTTATCTGAACACGAAAAGGCAACCATCCCTATTTGTAGATGACCGTATTTTGGGCAGCTGTAACAACTCTAATATAACGATGTTTCCACAACAATGTACATTTATAACAGTATTTACTGTTTACCTTTCCCCAGAACCTGATTGTTCCCCGGTGTTTGGTGGAGTTCATGTTGCCCAGTCTTTAGCGTAATGCTGTTGATGATTGTCCTTCAGTAATTTTCATTTTGACCAATCTATTGTTTGTTATTATTGCACTAATGATTTGTAATAACCTTTGGTAATCTTTTCTTTCTTAAATGGCTTATAAATGATAATGTTTTATTGATATATATGAATAAAACAAATGGATTATAATATTAAATTATGTAACTGATAATATTGTCTTCTACAGGTGAAATAGTTGATAGCATTTCATCCTTAACTAAATCATAACATTTACTCTTACCGCTTGAAACAACAGGCAGGTGATCCGCATAATACTTTGGACCTTTTCCTTCTTTCGTAAATTTCAAGTCACATTTCCCGTCCGTGCCTACAGCATATATTAATTCACAGTCGTTCCATTTCACTTTTGCATCCGATCTAAAGGCTTCAATTTTCTTGTCCAGAAGCTCTTTAACAATACCTTTAATCAATTGACAAACACATTTGTTATGGTTAATCATTTCGATTGAAAACATGGTTTTACTTTGGATCGGTACATTCATGTTTGTGCTTAGATGAATGTATGGATTTTCACGACCTAATGTGATGTAATGAGTTTAGGACACTGCGTAAAATAATGATAGTGCACCGACAACAAAAAAACGATCGAATTACCCGTCAAGAGTGATTATCTGTATGTTTGCAACATCCGTATCTAGACCCTGTTCTACCAATTTTCGGAGGGAATAATAGAAGGACAATGCATAGTATAGATTGTGACAATGTTTGGCGATGCATTGGAGTATCAACTATGATTCATTAAGATGATAAGAAAGTATTTAGCAACCAAAATTTAGTTATTAAAAATTGAGAATGGAAATGGGGAGTGTGTCAAAGAGACAACAACCCGACCATAGAACAGACAACAGCAGAAGGTCACCAACAGGTCTTCAATGCAGCGAGAAATTCCCGCACCGGAGGCGTCCTTCAGCTGTCCCCTTAACAAATATATACTAGTTCAGTGATAATGAACGCCATACCAAACTCCAAATTGTACACAAGAAACTAAAATTAAAAATAATACATAACTGTTTTTCATATGATGCTTCTAATTTTAAATTGGCTATCCACAATTGTAGTACTATAAGATCTTTAGGATGATTTTAATTTATTTTAATTTTTTCTAACCTCAATGTGTTATTTCTACCAATTTGTGTAATGAATCATTGGATATATACTCATACATATAGGTAAGACTTCCTGGGATTGATACATTTTATATTTGGTTTCATAGTCTAGTTGGTTGAACGAAATCATTGTTTTGAAAAAATGGGAAGACAGACGATATTCCATGGACGCCATGTAATTGCAAATAAATGTTCACATTGGCCCATCACTTCTAATCAATACAAATTAAGATCCTGCCTATGTATCTTACCCTCATGTTTATCGTCATTTCGAAGTTTAACAGTTGCACCTTCTCCAATTCCAATTGCCGTAGTGTAATTCTCTAGGCCGCTTCTCGACATCATCTGCTCACTATAAAAAATGGCAGGTTGTATTTATTGTTTAATCTGGAACAACGATTTGAATAGAAAACCAGTTTTTCAAAACAGTTATACTAGTTATAAAGAGATTCCATATGAAGATCACAGATCCAACTGACATTTTGTCTAATATTTTTAGATCTGTTAACATTGTTCATCATGTATCAGTTGTGCATTGTTTACTTTTTGTGATGGCCTGTTTATATTGGAGCCAAGACTTTCTATGTTTAATCGTGGCAAATGAAAATCAGAAGCATTAGTATTTGACTTGTCAAAATGATATTATAAAATGACACTTAAAGACAGATAGATTTTGATGATTTTATGTTCGTTTTGTATACGATTATTTGAAAAAAACTCACCCCTTTGCATTTTCACTTTGGATTCTTTTAAATTTATGACCAGTAAAATCGTGTTCATCTTCCATATAACAACGTGTGCATAGGTCATAGTCTACACAATTACGACATTTCCATCTTATTCCTCTTAAGGGATGTTCCCCACACCCATCACACTGTACATGTGAATGCAAAACACCTAAACGTAAACAAATGACAAAATTGTACGTACAATTTTTATGAATAAAGAAATACGAAATAATTACTCACAGAACAATAGATTTAACAACTGTTTGGAAACTTTTCTATGCCTACACCATGTACGCATGCAATAAAACACAAAGAATAAAATTGAGAATGGAAATGGGGAATGTGTCAAAGACACACCAACCCGACCACAGAGCAGAAAACAGCCGAAGGTCACCAATGGGTCTTCATCACAGCGAGAAAATCCCACACCAGGAGGCGGGCTTCAGCTGGCCCCTAAACAAAAAAGTGTACTAGTTCAATGAAAATGGATGTCACACTAAACTCCAGAACATATAAATGAACTAAAATAAAAAAAACATACAAGACTAACAAAAGCCAAAGGCTCCTGACTTGGGACAGGCGCAAAAATGCGGCGGGCTTAAACTTGTTTTGTGAGATCTCAACCCACCCCTATACCTCTAGCCAATGTAGAATAAACAAACACACAGGAATACACATGCTTTCATTGTTGATTGTTTGACGGCTTTATATATGTTTGCTACTGTGTGTTTGTTTTATTTTTGTTAGTTTTCATCTGTTTTTTAAGTGGATTTATTCGTGCTTATTTTCCGTTTGAATGTAGAACATTTTCGCTTAATCCAAGGTTAAGAGCAAAATTAACCCTACGTAAAGTTTTTGTTTATGATATGAGAATCATACACAAGACAAATGAAACCTCGTAAACACGTTTTGCACTAGAAACCACGAAATTAAATTTCCGCAGAATAAATACATTCCTTTTTATTGAGTTTTCAATTTGTAATAATAATATGCCGACGTCTACAAAATTGGCAGTTCTGGGAAAACTGTAGACAGTTAACATTAGGCAAGGTGTTAAGAAATACCCTAAACTACTGTAATACCACGAAGGTATACACGTTGTGCTGACGTATTGTGCATTATAATACAGATTTGAAGTCTTAAAATGGTCTATGCAGCACTGTTATTTAACCTTATTTCACATGACAATATTGACATGAAAAAAATGCATTATAATTCATTTCGTAAAGTTAAAGGCCATGACGGTTGTACAGTTTGATTATGTTCTGAAAAAAAAACTCTCATAAAAAAGAATCAAATAAAATAGTCACGTGATTAGGATTTTGAATATAAACTTTAAATTTCTCTTAAGAAGAGATAAACAACGCAAGTTGAAGACGAATACTTGTCAGCTTGAATAAGATCTTCATGAATTCTGGAGAATTTGTTTCACTTAAATAAATGCTGCTTCTTGTCTTGTTTATTTCTGATTTCAAATGAAGAGAAAAAGATTATGTGTGTAACTAATCACAATTTGTCAGTATTTCTCACTTTCCCAGTCAAAGAACAGAAGTTGTGAATTGCTTTTCTATAATTGACAATCAGCACCACTTTCCAGAAGGTAAACTACGATATGTTCTGCATTTGTACATCTAAGATATAGAAGGCCGATCTGAAATGCATGTTTTTCATTCGAGACCAATCAAAATATAACAGCATATCATTATATTTGCTTAGACATTGTTACAAATTATTCCGTTCAATTATTCAAATAAAAATTAACTTATATTTTGAAAAAAACTCATGTTTGACAAGCATTGGAAGTGATTGTTTGCTGTTCGCATAGAATGAAATATAAAAAGGTGAAGGCTGCGATGGTTTACTATAAACTTTGAATGTACACTAAATAATGTTTTGCTACAAATGTGGCATCCAGGTACCACGAAACATGTTTCCCCTTTTAAATTAAGTTTATACTATTGGGGTGTGGTATGATATAAATATGTATTATTAATAAAGCAGCTAACTTCTCCCAAAACCCTTGTGATTTCACTATGACGTCACAAAAATGTCGAAAATGACGTATTTGACTTAGAATGGCCATTACAAATATAGATTTGTGCCAACATGTAAATGAGCAATAGCTTTACTTTAAACGATATTTTACACTCATCAACATCTTTGTAAAATATATGTTGTAGCAACATATCCGCTTATATCTTACCCTTTCTTAATTGTGTGATCTCAAATTGAGGTTATTTTGGCTGTTTTAGCTGTGTACTAAATTTAAGAAACTGGAATAACTAATGGTAATATATAAGACAAAATTAAAAAAAAAATATTGACATCCGACAGTCTAACAAACATCCGGAGTATCGGTAGATTTATGATGGTTTTTTTTTCACTTTTTTTCACAAGTTTTATGACACTGCTTTATTTGCAATCACTATTAAATCATCAAGTCAAGTGCAATTTATTTTAGAACAATTTTGATTTATTCTACTCTGTGTTTAACTCAACATCTTTATCAATAAAAACCGGGATGTAGGTGAGGGCTAGTAGTAATCGACGTACGTCAGACCGCTTGCACTAACCCGAGATCTAACTACGAGCTTTTTAAAATTCTTGGAATCGTTGGTGCCTTAGTTAATCTGCTCTTGAAATAAAAATATTTCAAAATCAGTTTTAAATAGTTACTTATAGTTTTAACGTGCATTTGAAGAAATAAATATTTGTCTCATTTACATAAATTTCCAAACAACCTCTCTTAACAAATCTATCTACTGACGAAAACGATTCCCATTGTTTATTGTTTTTTGTTATTGAAAACATGATAAAGGGAATCAAAACAACGGCATGTTTCATGATCGACACGTGACACAAATCATAACCTGCAATATGATCGGATAGTATTACATAATATAAATTCCTTACTTTGCACCTTCTTCATTTTTTGCTTGGGGTAATAATATTTATTCATTAACGAGCAATACTAAGTCCATTTGTATGCACTATGGTATAGTCATGGTATAGTCATTATCATACGTTAACTAGTACGGCAAAACTTAGAACTTTTCGAAAAATTAAGGATTTTCTACCCTAGGAATATAATTAGTTGATTCGTTTGAGTGTTATTTAACCGCAATCTACAGTATATTATTGATAATTTAATAAAATGGTTAAGAATCTCCATTTTATGGAAAGGTTTATTTATGAAAGTGGTTAATTTAGGAACATACTAATCCATTTCGCCATGAATAAATGCGAGGGTAACCGATTATTTATCGTGAAAATTTGTTCATTCTCCTAAAAAATTAAAATACAGTCAAATGATTGAGATCCCCTCTTGATTAGTTTTTTTCCATGATATATCATGGGCTAGTCTGATTGATGTAACGAATGTCTTGTAGTTGACATACGTGTACGGTTAAATGGTGGGAATTGTATTCGGCAACTTATAAATGAAGAACAATCATTTGTTAATTTATATTTCAAATCGTAAAATTGTTACAATCGTATTCTTATTTGACATGCAATGCCTCACTTTACATAAAACACTGCATCGTTATACGATCTGGACATAATTTCCTTTTAAATATTGAAATACAATTCAAAGAAAATAATCTGACTTGTAATGCACATAGTGTTTAACATATATTTTTGTTTTTACCAGTAATCATGGTAATAAAACGTAACAAATTGAATTAAGATTTATTTTTTGGATTCGTATAAACAATACGATGGAAATATGAAGGCTTACCTATTTGCGCATTATCAAATAAATGAAGATCATATTGGCCATTCTCTCCTTTAACACAGTTTTCTATACCATCCGACGAGTCCCATTGGACCTTGACAACACCACCTTTTGCAACATTGATAATAGTACCAATTTCACGATCTTCCTTATCATATTTGTAGTCTTCTGGAGGAATCCATGATCGTGATCTTATTACTCGAAGTCCTGATTTGATTTTTTCTTAATAAAACAAACAAATATTATTATTATGTTAAAAAATATGTGCCAAGACGCATCATTAAAATGGTATTACTAGCATGCTCAAAAGAACACGATGCGCTATGTTGTTAACGAGATTTTAGCTCATGAATTTGTATTACAATAAGATAACTAAGGTTAAATATGTAATACGTATAATATAAGAAGATCTCAATTCTGAGTAAAATTATACGAAAGAAGGCCAAATAAGTATAAAGTATATAAAAGGTCATATCATTCATGTTAGCAGTGGCTACAATTAAATGCATATACCAATTATCACATCAATCTCCGAGAATGTGAATCAACAATATATACAAACTGTTATTGGCAACTCATTTTATTTATTTGCAAAAAACAGAGATGATGACATTAGTGGATCGAAAAGAAAAAAAAATCGCAGATATGACTGCCAAACAATAACCCATAATTCAACGGATGTATATTAGTAGTGACAATGGAAGAGAAATACTTTCATCAAAAATTGATTTACACCTTTTTATGTAAAAAAATGAAAATAACACATTACAAATTTCATGCGTCTGAAGGTCTTTTCTGGATTTACTTTCATCAGTAATGCTCAATGCCGAATATTGGATGGCCCAGGATGTATACGAATAGAAACATTTGAAGAGCTATGCGAAAAAAACTTTGTATATGACTTTTTTTTTTCATTTATGCTAATTGTCCACCTTTGTGGAACAAAAACCCGATTGACATTGGAAACTTTATACGTTTGACCATGCAAACGCATAATTAGATATGCTATGAATTGAGCTCTGTCAGGAATTTGGCTCATTCATTTCATTCGACATTGAGATAAAAACATAAAGTGCGTTATTTCCCAGTTTTCAAATACGCTATTAATTTGCATACCTCCACCATAATGTTTACGAATATGATATCCATGGAACTTTGAATAAAATGAAAACTTCTCCTTTATACATGGATCCTTTTGAATATCCTAAAGGTAGAAAATAAGACTTAATAGAATTATATAAGCAAATTGGACTGCAGTTTTTGCTGTAGATTTATTCATTTTCGTTGGTACCAATTTTCGTGGATTGAGAAAACTTTGTATTTTCATGGATATTTGATTTCGTGGTTAAACTAAGGTGTGTATACAAGCCTATAGAAAATTTGTACTTCGTTGAACATTTAGATTCGTGGTTCACCTGTACCCACGAAATCAACGAAAAATAGTATCCCACGAATAATAATGAATCCACAGTAGCGCTAAAACCTAAATAAGGCTGTGGTACACAGATGATTTGAGTTATTGTCATGCGTAATATCAAAGTATGGTTTATAATGTAAGTGAACTTTTTAAACATGTAGATTTTAATGTAAGAAATGGAAACTTCAAACATTTTGTAAGCGCAGAATAATCATTTTGGATTTTAATAAATTTCATTACGTTAATGTTAACAATGTTGTATAGCAACAACGTGAAAATAAGACTTTATGAATACCGTCCGTCGTCAGTTAATTTCCACATGTATTATGTCTCCCTCGTAAGTCTGATCATATGCTTTATTGTTAACCGTTTGTAATTATTCATCGATCTTCAGATTATAACCAGTTTTGTCTTTCGTCTCAAGCATGTTAAATCAAAATTAATATTTGAATTAAGTACCAATGACGTCTTGAATGTGTGGCAAAACATACTTTTCTCTTTTTTTCTAAATGAGAATAACGATACATATAGATTTTGACATTGGTACCAAAAGATTATTGGATTTATCCAATTGAGATAGTAAAATTGTCGAATTTTAAAGTCCGAGCATCGGCGAGTACTTTAAATTTGATCATTTTACTATCGAGATAGGATAAATCCGAGTAACAATGTAAGAATCTGTTTCTCTAATAAGTATCAAATGAATTTCATTTTTGATAAACAAAAATCCCCTTCGAGTGCCTTCCACATTCCACAAAGTTGTCAATTTCTCTAACACATGTGAACACATTTCGAGTCATCCCGTAAGCTAAAAAAGGTTATGACCCTTAAACCCAACCAATCATCTTCTGAAATCATCGGTTACCACACTTTGATTATGTTTGTTTATACAATGGGTCCAGAAAGATATGAATTACCAAAGAAATTGGAGAAAACATATTATACATACGTTTCTAATAATAGATATTATGTATCATTCATGATTTCGGTTGTTCAAAGGAAAGACTGTATATCACCCATTGTAGTGTTGTATAACATTTACGGTACCAATTGTTCAGCACCAGGTGGTTTTTACAATAATCATCTCTGAAGTGATACCAGGGGCCAAAATATTTGAAAATAAAAAAAATTGTAGCTAGCCATAAAACCAGGTTCAACCCACCAATTTTTCTTAAAATGTTCTGTACCAAGTCATGAATATGGCGGTTGTTATCAAATAGTCCGTTTCTATGTATGTTGGCGTTTGTTTTTGTTGCAGATCAGTGTTTCTGTTGATCTGTTGTTTTCCCTTTATAGTTGATGTGTTTCCTCGGTTTCAGTTTGTAACCCGGATTTGTTTTCTCTTAATCCATTTATTACTTTTGAACAGCGGTATACCTCTGTTGTCTTTATTTGAGTTGGACAGATCGCCGTGTTTAAGACAATTCATATTAGGTTTATAATCATACAAAAGGATTTTATCAGATACTTAAAAGTTATGTATAGTTCTGAATTTAACGAAATGTGCCCTTTTAATAAAACCTTATAACGAAACTAACAGTTATTGAACCACAAACAGTCACCTGTGAACCAAGCGTTGACATTTGTAAAAGGTAAAAAAGACCATGGTATAGCCATAATTTGGGATTTTTCTTTAATCAAATTCAGGTACAACATTTTAACCATCTTTTATATTAAAACGGCTTTCTTTTGATAAGGATCTTTGAGTAACACAAGGCAAAGAAATTCATTATAAAAAGTTGATTGTACTGTTTTTGATAGGGCAATGTCAACGACATTATGGACATTAGAAACTTTATAAGGCATCTGTTAATATGACATGGACAATCTAGCTCTTATTCCGTCTAAAATTAGACAATCGCATAATGAGCTAACTCTGCATTAACCATGTTAACCATATAAGCATGTATTTGTATTATTGTTCTTCTAATTCGACAAAAATTGGTGCAGAACTCTAAGACAAATTAAACTAGTCTTGTTTATTGATTAAAGAACGCTAGACGACCGTTCTTTTTTTTTCAAGAAGAGCATCAAGCGTAAATTAACGTATAACACACTTATGCATATAACTACTGGATAGCAAATTGTAAAAATCAAACTACTATACCACTTGATAAAATGGGTGCGTGCAAAAAATTGTCTAGTTAACCCTCATCTGGAACCTTCAAATCACAAAAAAGTGCAGTCCAAGGATGAAAATATACCTGAACATGTGTGGTGGGGAGGGTCATAAAAATGAGACCTTGACCTTCTTGACTTCCTTTTTTAAGCGCAAAACATTGTTTTAAAAGAGTCCACATGAAGATTTCACTGCATGCATATTCAATGTAAGGAGAAAAAGTGTGTAAAAATTTCATTTTTTATAATAATTTTGTTTTATAAAGCACGTTTAATATTCAGCTCATGATTTGAAAGGTCTTTAACAGAATAAGGCAATATCCGAAACTTTAAAAACAAATTAAGCTACATCACACGTAAATGTTAATAATTTTTTAAACATTGTGTTCGTCCCATATATTACACTCTGAATGAATTGTTGTTTGTTACTGATAGAGCTCTATTCTTCTTTAGTCTAAACATTCCTGCAATTTCTATTTTTTTTTGTTAAAACTGGGTGATAAACTACTATAAACTTCAACGACATTACAATTAATTGCGTCATCAAAACTAACCTAATATTTTTATTTCAATACAGGCTTGCGTTAGAAGGTTACAAATTTAACAAATAAACTTTATCTTCAATTCACAGGGCCACATAAACCATAACTCGTATTTGATCCTTCACCTGAGTTGAAACTTACGTTTCTGAGTAATATTTAATCGGATAATACGGGAAAACCTCGATATATATCATGTCAGTATCGACGCAATAGCTACTGAGCAGATGATACTGTCGTGGAGAGTCAATCAAACCTCGGTTTCACCCTAGTGCTATAAAACAAATACAATGCTTGATAACGTTGATGCGTCATGAGTGATTTTCTCGATTTTTCGCTCAATCTCAATAATTGAAAGGCTAGGCACATATACATTTATGAATAGATGAGAGCCTAACAACCAAGATATACCCTAAAGACGTTGAAGAAGAACGTACCTTTTCCTTGTTGTCTTTATCACTATCACCCTTTTCTGTATCTTCATCGTCACTATCTTCATGATAAGTCTGTTATATCAAATATGTTACATTAAAAAGTGTAGACCGTGAGTATGGGAAAAAACTATTTCAAATGATTTGGAAGTCATTTGTGCATTTCAACCAAGGTGTAATTGAAACAGTTATCATGCAGTATGTTGCAAGAGTTTTTAAGACATTTGGACAAGTTTGACTCCACCAAACATCAAATTAATGAATAGCATTGTTTTTAAAGAATTAAAACATCAAAAGCTGAACAGGTAAAACATTAACATTCATAAATAAGGTTTTATTGCTAAGCTTTTGGTTGATAGGATACACTCAACTGTATGTCTATGGTTTTCAGTGTCTGAGCAGAAATTTGATGAACCAAGGATATGTCAAAGAATGTCTGGTCCTTTTTCGAAAACAAATTCATCGGAAGATACCAAGATCTTGTTGATACATAATCCGTTTTAACTTCACAATTAATACACGATGGTCTTGAAGTATAGATTCTAGGTACTGACGTTGTTTATCATCTTAATAACGTATTATAGTATTCTTTTATTTGTCATTGTAAATTATTACTTTTACTGTTAAGTCTATTTTTAGAAATATCCATTTCACGTGGCTCGGTACTTATACATCCCGTCATTGTGTTATTGTGCTATGGTAAATTTTTGTATTCTTGTCTTTCGTTTTTGCTAATGTGCTTTGTCTATATGCCTTTTTGTTTTTCTTTGTTGACATATTTGTTTGTTTTATAGTGATTAAGATTATAACACAATGGTGACTGCTGTACCCCTATTTTTGACATTTTTACCTATTTTGTCTGTTTGTTTTGTACACACATCGTTGTCAATATAATGGAATTTTATGCGACTGTAATAGAAGTGAGAGGTTTAGCTAGCTATAAAATCCGGTTTAATCCACCATTTTCTACATAAGAAAATGCCTGTACCAAGTCCGGAATATTACAGTTGTTATCCATTTGATTGATGTGTTTGAGCTTTCGATTTTGCCATTTGCTTAGGGACTCTTCGTTTAAATTTTTTCTCGGAGTTCGGTATTTTTGTTATTTTACTTTACTTTTCCTGTACAAACAGCAATAGCCGAGAAAATATGATCTGAACGTTTATCCTAGCACAAGCTAATGCTAACTGATAATCTACATTAGCACAAAGATATCACCAAGATATTGTAGTGACATACTATCAAATGTTGAATTTATTTTGTAGTCTTTGGGAGGGGAACCAACGGAATGGAAACTTGACCAAACTGACTATCCTATTCAGTCATTTTAAAATACAATCATGCTTTTGCGATAAGATTGTCTAAAACCCGGTTTTTAAAATGAACATTCATACTATTCCAGATTTATCTGATTATGTAGCAAGCATGATGCAAGTCGAAGAGTGTAATGTATAATAATAGTTCGGGTATGACCAGATTGGAATTGAAATACTTTACAGTTCTAGTGTAACACTTACCCGCCGTCGACCGAAAGATTTAAGTCTATTCGGTGAAATGTCTGCAAAAAAGGATATATTAATATCATTAGGTATAAGACATTAGTAGTTATTTAATGTTCTAATGTGACGTGTTGCTTTCTCATTAACGTGATCAGATTCGTGATATACCTATATTTAGCACAGACAACCAGGTTGTTGCATGATATCTTCATTTACATTCACATGTATCGTAATCTATGTATAAACAATATGTCGATATCGCTGTGTGGAAAATGAATTTGAAAAAAGTGTTGTTTCTGTTGCAGTGCAAAACAAAAAAAATCATTGCACTTATGCTTGAGAAAATGCATAGACTTTAAATTAAAAAAACATTCCACTTAATTTTATCAATGATCGAATTAACGTTGTGTCAAAATAAATATGAATGAAACTTAACATTTGGCTATCTCATTAAAACTAAAGTTTTGCGGTGGATGTCATTTAATTGTTATTCCTTTGCAATAATCGCACATGTTTGTATTGCAGCAAGACAATATGTCGGCCTACTACTTAGTAACGATGGTAAATAAATGTAATAGCCATGAAAACAAATGTTTATTCAAAATTGCAATATTTGGATTAAGAATTACACTGATTAGACGATTTGTTTTATACAATTTATTCGAAAATGTTTAAATAACTTTCATTCAAGCATTTGTTTCTTTTGCTTTATTCTAGTATTGATCACACAACACGAAGAATTTTTCAATGAAAGTCTCTCATATGCATAATTCGCCTAAAAAACATATGATTATACTTATGTCCTTATCTCTATTATTTCAAAATTCAACATTCATTAAAATAACTGAACTTATTTATATGAACGCGATATTTTTTTAAGTTTACATCAGCATTTACGAGTTAAGATGTCAAAATATCATTTCATTTACTAGTTGTTGTAACGAATGCAATAATTAGAATATAACATTTTACATTGTATCAGTCTTAACGAAAACATTACCATCACGATCCGATCGCGATATGTGGCCACTGTTAGTTACTCTTTCAAGAACTGTTTCTCCATATACGTTATAGCACCACAAAAGTGTCGGTAATCCTATTTTGTTGACATAAATTAGCCGAAAACACATAGCATCAACACTGTCGAATAATGATCTTCTTTTATTTTTTCTGTCTGCATGTTAAATCAATTAATTTTTCTTTTCTTCCGCAAAATGTCAAATATGTCCTAGAAAACCTTCTGTTGTATAAGTCCTTGAGTTTTTATCTGTTAACGTATCTATGTACGCATTTTAATAGCCAAAAACAGGGGAATATTCCTTTATCACTACATACAGATAAACTGATTTATTGGTTCTAAATAAGTAAAAAATATATTTTTTTTAATATTAACAGTCTACTGATTCTATACATGTTTCAAATAAGCCAAACTTAAAAGCTAAAGTTCCACGAACAGATGTGTACATAGATATACAGAAATCCTTATGGGTAAAGTAGATACGTGTATGTCACTACCCTTGATGCAAATATTAGCTTGAATGACCGCATGACGCTAGAATATATAGAGTTATTTTCTTAGTTTTATGATATACATGTATCGAAACTGAGCATACTGGGGCATTTTTAGTTCAGAACTCAGACTATTGAGCTGTCGAATATTTATGTATCATTCTTACAGTGTTTTAAGGTAGGTAACTTAATACTCACAAAATAACACAGGTCTGACAGTTGTTACATAAAGATGGTACTGAGAACCGTTAAATTGTGTTTTGATCATATTGAATTTTGTCATTTTTCTACTTATTTTAAACTGTACTTTTCATTAGTTACGTACTATACTTTTTAATTCTTCAATTTTAACGCTTCCTCTAGATCACAAGAAGAACACATTGTAGGAGAACAACATTTTTAGATGATTATATATTGCTTGATATCAACTCCAGTTATTCAATTTCTGTTTGATAATAAACAAGCATTTTTAACTTATGGTAAACATTGTCTATATAATAAATACAAAAGGTCCGCGACTCGTCGATCTAGTCCATTGCACATATCAGTGAGACGCCGTTAGTCCTGTTCTGATGTCAAACTTTAATATCATACATTTTTGAATCTGTATGTACGATTCGGGGTTTTATAAATTTTGACAATAATGAATTTTTTAGGTGAAACATTTCAGTGTTTTGTATACTTCAGAAAAAATCACAAATTGCCTTTGACATGGAGGAAATAAACATCGTTCTTACCTTCCAAAGTTCTCAATGACCTCACTAATATCCAATAGAAATATGGCAATATTTTTTCTTCATAATGTATGAGCTAATAAATTTAACGCATATAAATTTGTATCACTTTTTCGTATCACACTCCGTAGTGTAATACGAGCAATACCTCTACATTCGATAAATATATAACAGATCACACCATAGCAGAATAAAAATTTCTACATTTTTTAAAACGGACATGGATGTAAAAATAAGTATACAGAAGTAGAAAATATTATTATTTTAATGAAAACCAAGAAAGTGCTGTCAATGTATTTTTGATCATATTAGTGGGTAGTTTTGCATAAAAATAAATACTAAAATATAGATTATCTGTCTCTGAAAAATGTTCAATGACATAGTTTTATTATTATTTTTTTAATTTGTCTTTCTAATTCAATATATTAGATTGAAATAGTTATGTTATGTGTTTAATCGAAAATATGTTCTTCACGATCCCATACCAGATCGTACAAGCTCCGATCGCAATACTTGACCGGCGTTACCAATACATCTTATTGCTATTTATTCCAATCCAGATACATTCTGAAATTACACATTTTTTTCATGACGTCGCTAACCAGTTGAAGCTTTATTGAACAATTTATAGTGCATAAAACTTTCCAAAGAGAAATGTTTAAACGATCACTTACACTTCAAACAAAGCATTTTTATCACTAATTTGTGTTTCAAAATATTGGATCATAATCGATCAACATTCAAAATATTTACTTTCTAAACTTCCCCCCCCCCCCCCCCCCCCCCCCCCCCCCCCCCCCCCCATCAGTTCATTATTGATAACCTTTGAATTTGCGAATCTTGACCAAAACAGGAAGTTGTCTAAGTGACTGTTTTGTCCAGATTGAACTTTATAGCGATAAGGTGTATTCTTTCACGATACTTTTTTTGTCGGCAAACGTATTGACCGCCGTGTAACAATAAATTACAGTTATGTCCTCAAGTCTATCTGGAAGAAATCACATGTGTTATATATAAATTTATCGTTAACTTTTAAATGTAAAGTTAAAGGAAAGATTTTTCTTTTCATGTTTTCAATTCTGGACGGCATACCCCCAAAAACATTGTATCTACTCCAGAAGAAAACAAATACGTGAAATAGGATAACATTTCAAATGAACATGTAATGTGTAAATGAGTAATATAAGGCAATTGCCAATGCTCTAAATATGTTTTAAATTAACATAATTTTGATTGTTTCTTATATATCCTTATGATAGGAACTATAAAAAGATAATATCAAATAAGATAATGAAAGTAATAATACCATTGTTTATACTTACCATATTCACTCATCTCGACGGATGCAATGAACACTCGATAAAATGTTCATGCCAGCATACTGAAAATGAAATAAAATGTTATATCTGTCTCCGAGAAATTTTATATCCATAAGAAGAAATAAACACTTATCTCCGGGAAAAAGAAAGGGTACTTCCCTGAACGGATACTTATATGGTGATTCGGTCTTAAATATGATTAATTTCCAGCCTTGGTTTAATTTAACATTTAAATACAATATACTTGTTTTCTTGATTTTAAGAATATACATTATATTAATAGTGTACGTACAAACGTGTGGCTTTGGACATATGTAGTACACTTTGATATCTTATACTTTATATTTTGAACATAGATATATACCAGTCAACAAAGACAACCATACAAGAAAATGCATTTTCCATATGTAATATTGTTCGACATACAGTACAAAACAACAAAAGTTGTTGTCTTATCAAAACCATTGATTGACTGTAAAAGACACGAAATCCGTTTATTATTGTTGAAATCAAAATAAACTCTTTTGCAATGCGTCTTTGTCAAATTTTCTATCAACTACAAAAACCTTGTTGGAGTCAGTTGATGTATAGTCACATTAATCTAATATGTCTGTTTGGGATGTTGGGTTACTCAACCAATTTTGTCAAAAATACGGAACTATAAACAATTGTCATACAAATGGGAGGTTTACCTAGATATCAAACCAGCAATAACCTATCATTTTCTTTGGAAAATGAATGAACCAAGTCAGGAATATGACCGTTGTTTTACATGTGTCGGTTGATAAAGTATAACGTATGCTTTTATCAGTTTTTATGGACTTCCCCTTTTTTTATTCACCCTGGCAATAGGTATTTTTGATAAATCTTTTGATAACCAGAATATTCAAAAACTAATATCCAAACTCAGCACTTGGAACATAAACCTGATTAGATTAAAATTTTAAAAACCTTCGCAGATATTTGAAAAAAAAATAAATGTATATCTTAGTAAATCGATGTCAATGTTTTTTCATGATCCGCAAACTCAATGTGACATCTATGTTGAAAAACACAGTTGTTGTTTCACTTTTTGTCGTGTCAAAATCCGATGAATCATTTGCACTAGCTTTGAATATGAATGGTTTCTTTTTGATTGGATGATTTAACATTTTTCCAAACAAGAGTTTACACGCTGACATGACTCGCCTGATTAACTGATCATGATTTATTTTATGTTGAAAGTTGAAGATGTTACTACAAGTATCACATAAAAATTATCATTATCAAGTATCCATGTAAATAAGGTCTTGATTAAATGAACCCTGCCCAACGTAAATGTAGTTAACCGACTGTTTGTAGTACCCGAGAAACTACATATCCATCAAACCAAACATTGACTAATGAACCAGGGAAATGAGACAAGGTCAGAAGAATCCTCTAAGAAATAAGTACACTTTACAATCATTCGAAGCATAAAATATAGTTCACATATTACTTATGGTATCTAAAAAACAAATCAAAACACAGAAGCTTAACATTGACCAATGAACCTACCAAATAAGATCCAGGTCAGATAATACCTGTCCAAAAGATATGCACACCTTAAAATTATTCCATACACAAAATTTAGTTAATGTATGATTATATTAGCTGAGAAACAGACCTAAACATAAAAATTTAATATTGATCAATGAACCATGAAAGTAGTAAGACATTATCGTCCTGATCATGCGTGTAATAATGGCTCCCGGGCGTTTGTCAACAATCATTATCATTGCAAAATGTTACCCGATCAAAATGTAAAAGATATGACGCCTTAATCATGTTAATTGTTTAGATTATAAGAGTCTTGTTTTCTTCTCCCCCTTTAACTCCGGCTGTTTCTAATAATATTGATCATTGAACCGCTTTGATTACTTAAACGGACTGGTATTATCAGAAGTAAACTCCATTGAAGTGATATAATTTATATTTGCCGTCTTTGTTTTATTATATTTTTGTGAATAACTTTTTATCAATTCAATTCTAGAATTAAACAATTTCAATTATTTTTGTAGATGAAACAGATAGTTTGAAAGTCTTTTTCATATATCAACTTCACAAGTCCAGCGAGGTTTTTTTTTTCTCATTACATATTAAATTCAAATAAATTATTAACCCGGTATTAAAGAAACATCATTTACACTTTTTTCGATGACTACGAATCAAACCTTTTACACGACAATTACTCATAATAAAAAAAAAAAAATACTCTTGAAATTTTTTTTTATCGTTTTTGTGTTTTTTGAAGGAAAACCGAATGAACGAAATTATAAACATACCTAAAACCAATACCGTCAACGGTCCCGACCTGACATAATATGAAACTATTTTGACCAGAAAACAAGCGGCATGATTAGTAATAACGCAACGCACAAAAAATAAAATATGACTGACAGGAATCGATGCGAACCCATTGCAACTTCTGACTTGTGACAGACACAAGAGACATGAGATACATGGTTAAACTTGTAAGTGAGAATTCATCCCATCCCCCGGGACATTATTGTAACAATAAATCATTTCATCATAATCTCTTGCTGCATAACTTCGCTTGTCTGTTATTTTCACCTATTTTTTTCTTCCGTCCACCGAATGTTAACATACATCAAACTTATAACTAATAACGCCATCACGAGTTGGTTGACCGTTATTGAGAATTTATGTCCCAGATTACTAAATTTATGTTCCAACTGTCGTCCCTACTATCCCGTGCTATCTTGTTTTATTGTGACGTCCCCGAATGATATTTACCACCAAATTTGTATTGATTATGAAAAATATTTCGGATGCGAATGTGAAATATCTAAACAGATCTGCTTAATCTGCCGGAGAATTTTAAACTCTCCAGGTTTTTTGTTTTTTTTGTTTTTCTATTTAATATTTTGTGAACTTCTTTGTCTTTTCGTCGTTGAAATATGAAATAACTAATATTTCTAAAAAAAATGGATCAAACTAAGTACACATGCACAGTTTTAAGAATATATTCATCTGAAAAAGTTCTAAGTCTTTAAAATATAGTGTCATCTGTACTATTATTTGTCTGTTTGTCTTTTTATTTTTGGCCATGACGTTGTCAGTTTGTTTTCGATCTATGAGTTTGACTGTCCCTCTGGTATCTTTCGTACCTCTTTTATGATTTGACCTAATTAATCCATATAACAATCGGTGCCCTTTTTAGCATGTATGGTCTTGTTAACTTACAAATCTCCATTAACACATTGATGGCCTTTAATGCCTTGTAATACTCAAAGAAATTCCCTTTCGAGTTCACCCATTTGATAACTGACGAGGTATTAATGGGGACAGCTGACACGCTTTAGCAATGTACTTAAAATTTCAAAAGACTCAACAACAACTAAATAACAAATTCGTGGAACTTCAGTTTAAATATTTAGAGATCTTATGCAGCCATAGTCTGTTACAGATAGATGATAATATTTAATTGGAAGAGTATCATACTCATACAGTTCAACATGAGTAAGTTAAAAGCCTTTTTGCTACATTTGTTTTGGTTCTTGAAGAGGCAAAGAAATTGCAATATATTCACGAGAAGAGGATACTTCAGTTTATTTGGATACAGTTGACAGTGATCAGTTCTGGATTTTACATATGAAGTTTTTGATATAATCATAACAGTTATTTACATAAGCTCATCATCAACTTCGCATTCGTATGTTGCTGACTACAGTTAAGGTATGATTATTTTTAAAAAAAAACATCCATTATATGTAGATATTTTAATTTGTTGGTTTTTTTTTTCATAAAGATGCCAAACAATTCTTTTTCTGAAGTGATAGTTGAAAAAGAATTGCAGCAATTAATAACAGAACAATCTCCTTTTTAATGGTCTCAATAAGATCACGTATTTCTACGGCAATAAAGAAACCGCTTCAAAAATTCATTTTGCCAACATACTTGCCATATCACAAAGCAACATATATTATATTTTAAAAAGTTTATGACATTAAATGGTATGTATATCTATATATAACACAACACCATTGAGAATAAAAGTATTTCATTATGTGTGATTATATTCTTTTTAAGTGGAGAAATTATCTGAACAAACTTGTTCGGTGCTAATAACATTAATACAATCCTAAATGTGCTTTATCTCTACATATTAAGATTTTTCAAATCTTTTGAGAAATATAATAATTGTTATGGTGAATTAAGAGTTATATTCAATCATTTCCATCCCAGAACATAACATCAATGCAAGTATTTTAGTCAAGTCCGTTTGATCATAGCTTTATAGATAATCTTAATCATTTATGCTTCAATACACATGTAACCTCAATCAATTGCACGCAGTGACTCAAGTCTAGACCCAGTACACGTATTGGTCTTGTTTGAAAAACATAATGTAATGTTTGATAATTTGAACTCATTTCAAGGTTAAAAAATCTTTATCTCCCGCAGTTAAACGTACACGAAATACAATGTTATCAGTAACAGGCTAAACAATACAAGTAACGTAATAAACAATTCAAGTAACAGGATAAAACATACAAGTAACGGGATAGACAAAATGTATCAACAGATGTTTTTAAACATTTTTGTATTGTTGTTCACGAAAAGCTGGTTTTGGTTTGCTGATATAGAGGAAGCTGAAATTTAGTAACTATTATTAGATATTTAAGTTTTAACATTGACATTCTTGTTAAATCACCCATTATACTTAATTATTTTCAGATCAGTTTTGTAATAACTGTAAACAAAAAAAAAGATTTAAAGAGCAATTTGTCAATAGTTAAATAGGTTTAGCTTATTTGATTATTTGTTCAATCTAAGTAAATATGCACTCATAAAGTCTTAAACTGTTTAAAATGTTAATTTAACAAAACATGTTTTAAAATAACTGCATTTAATAACACTACTAACAAAGCATGGGGTAATTATTATTTTAAAGATTAGCCTTGGGGATTGTGAGCGGAAATAATGTCAACATTTTTCCTTTTTCAACACTCTTGTGTATATAAAGCACATATTTTGCTCCTCCATGGTGTCAATAAGGGAAACCATCCTTTATTTGTTA